ATTTCATAGACATTAACAAACAGTAACGCAGGAAAATAATTTGACTTTACATGTAAAACTATATTTGCTTTATGGAAATGTTGGGATCTAAATAAATTTTTTAAGTAAATTTTTTTCTTTATTTATGTATATTTAAAGTAAATAGAATAACATTTTTGACATGTGATAACAAAATGTAAATTTATAGTATGGTGCAACCATTAACTCTTTAGGTACACTGAGAAAAAAATGTTGAATTAAAAAAAAAATACTTTGATTCAATGAAACATTGATATCACGGGGCGTCACTAATATAAATAATTGTTCCATGTACATTAGTTATTAGTTTTAATTTTAACTTCATTATTTGCAAGGATAACATATTATTTTAATTTAATGGCATATCATGTTAAATTAAAAACATATTAAATTGGAACAACATTTCTTAGTGAAGACTTTGATTACAATAAAATTTTGAAATAACTATATGTGATTATGGGAATATTATATAATATTTATTTTAATTTTTTTTTAAATCAAGTAAAAATAAATTAAATGCAATTAAATTTATACTAAAATCTTGTGCAAATTATTAATATACCTAGTTAAATAAAGTTGAATTATATTTCAATTGATTGGATATATTATTAAATGTATTCGTCATACATTTTACTGATTTATATAAATAATTCAATGAACAGGTAATGTTTGTATTACAAGTGAGAAAGTAGTTGCTTTGAAAGAATTCTCAATCAAAATGTGAGTATTGTATTTTTAAATAAACACGAAATTAATTGTATGAATTGCGTATATAGATGAACCAATATTACAGTACTAATACATTAACATCTTATTGCATTAATATAAAAATATGAAATATTAAGTAAACCAATAATTATTTCAAGTAATATAAAATATTTTTAATTAAAAATGAAATCTGTAAATATAAATAGATAATTCATTTATTACATTTATATATTTAATTCTTTGAATCAGATGTCGTGTCTTTTCAAATAAACATCTAATTGCAATAATTAATCATATTATTTTATTAAATTAAAATGTTATTAGAATACTGTAATGATCTTATTGTTTCAATTAAGTGTAAAATTTACAGAATTACTAATGTCAATTGAAAGGCTTGCTGCAACAGTAGGTTACCTCACATTTTGTAAAAACAGAAAAAATATACTTGGATTTTATCACTCGTACACTTTTACTAATATCACTTGCAAGTTAACATTAATGTAATAAAAAATGTGATATTGATAAAAATGGATGAGAGACAGACACCAAGTCCATTTTCTTCATTTTTACAAAATGTGGGTTAGGCTACTGTTGCAGCAATCGTTTCAATTGACACTAGTAATTCTGCAAATTCGACACTTAACTGAAATAATAATAAAATACATAATATATTTTAATTTAAAAAATTACAAATAAGTCTAAAAATAACCTTTCTTTTTAATACATAAAAACATTTTATAAAGACAGAAATTAAATTCTGATACATTGTGTGTATTTATTTATTGATCATGCTCATATTACAGATGTAATGTTATTAACACAATGTCAAGATTTTAATGTCTACCTTTAAATTTTATTATTCTTATCTAAAACTGATTTTTAACCAATAGGATAAAGCAATTTTACATTATTTTTGTTACAAAGTATTTTATTTATTCACAAGTAATGAAAAAGCATGTATCATATGTGTATTATTATACTTCAATTACAATTATAAACTTAGAATAAAATATATAAACTTAGAAATTATTTAGCTTAAGGTACAACTGGAATATAAATTCTACCATCAGCTGAAAGATGTATATTACAGGGCTTATACAATTTAAGTTCTGAATGAAGTATAAAACCCCAAGATTGTAATGTTATTATTTCATATGCATAAAAATGATTATTCAGTTGTATTACTTTTAGCTGCTTATATATAAACATTATCTCATCTAAATTGTTTTTTAATATATATTTAATTTGAGCAAACTTACAATTACTATTATCAACAAAAATAACCATGTTTGATTTATAAAATGTTCCGTTTACTTTAACCCAAGAAACACATTTATAATTATCAAAAGAAATAGAGGGCAAAATACTTTTAAAATCTGCGTAAAGCTCAATGTTTATCAAGCTTTCGTACAATATTACACCCCATTCTAAACGTTTCTCAAATCCTTTTTGTGAAATAAATCGATAATTCAATTGTAATTGATGTTTTATAGCTAATGTATATGCGGGGTTTCTTCTTGACGAAACAGCTTTTGCAATTTCTTTGAGTTCTTTATATTTTGCTTCGAATCGTATAGATGACATTTGTTTAAGAGGTCCTGCCTGTTCCATAATACGTGGATAATGAAGCAAAAGATGATGCTTCGGTTTCAACGTATCGTTAAATAAATTGATATACAATTTATGATGTTTACTAATTAGTTTTGTCAACAAAGTAATGTTGTCATTGTTTATTTCTTGTGTCATTATGATAGATATCATGTTTCGAAGAACTATGTATAATTCCCAAGTTTTATTTTTTTTTGGAACAAGATCACCAATTATTAAACCCAAGTATTGTACAAAACAAATCATTTCGGATGCTGAATAAATAATATGCTTTTTATTAATAGAATTTACATTAATTAACGGCGGTATGTTTGTTGAATAATTAGTTCCATAATCAAAAAAGCGAATTCTATTATTTAATGTTTCAAGCGAAAATAATTTATCTTTAGTTATTAACTTATTTAAAAGTTGACCTAAATCATAGCGGCAAACTCCTTCAAATAAGTCATGCATTACATCGACTGTAAGATTCTTTGTAATATGAAAATTTGTTATTAAATGGAAAACACATTCTTCTAAAATACCGTATTTTTGTTCAATGACGTCTGCTGTATAATTTTCAACAGTCCGAAGTAATTCAGCATCCTCAATAATTTGTTTTTCACGAGTTTTTGTATTTACATGACAAATTCTACAGGAATAATTAGAATTAAAACTTGTATTTAATCCAAATATGGCATGAAGTCCTAAATTGTCCCCAAGAATATGCAGTAATGCAAATTTTACCTTTTTTACCGATTTTTTTATATTTATGATTATACCATCAGTCTGTAGTTTATTAATCTGATTAATGAGTTCTGAAAAAATCCGTTTATTTCCGACTTGATTATAATCCACTACATTATGTAATTGTAACAAAAATATATTTTCAAGAATACTTGCGTTCTTCTCATCAATACCACCAATAGTACAATATACTGCACCAAGTTTATGTAAACCTCGATGAGTACCTAATGGATTATTTATTTCAAAATCATCGAAATAAATAATCAAGGGTAATACGTCACTATCATATTGTTGTTCAATAGATTGCCAGACTTTGCTTTGCACTACGTTTGTAACTATTTTATTCTGTTTAAGTCTTTGAATATTAGATGTTATTTTGACATATACATCTGGCAACTCTAGAAATGTTTTAAGTATTTTTTCAAGTGGTACAATATATATCTTTTGATTTGTTAGAACGATTTCTCTACCAGTTTTTGTAAGTTTAGAATCAATGGACGCGTTAATACATATTTCTTGGGGTTCTATTAAAGTATTCAATGTTTTAAAATAAAGCATTGTTTGATATTCAGAGGTATGATCTGCAAATGCGTTATTAAATATATTGAACATAGAACACAAATCTAGCTGAGGATTGGACTCAATAGACTTGTACTTTTCCTGTAGAATTTGTACACAATCAAATAAAGATTTCATTAACTCAATCATTTCCTGACAAAATGCACGAGGTATTGATGGCCGAGAATATAAGTTAGCTACAAATAATGCTGAAGTCTTTGAGACTTTTTCTGCAAATTTTTCAACTGTAATATCGATATCAGTATTATTATTCTTAATGGCACAAGAAATTGGCAAAACTTTAACTGAGTCTGCATATAAATTTGACTCCTTAATTTCCTCAATAACATCATTTTCGATGTCAACAATATCTTTGTTAATATCTTGTATATTACGAGTTTTACTAAATTTATCGTTTTTTTCCAACTTTGTAATATTACTATTTGAGTGAGAACTAGATAAATGTTTAAGAAAATTATACATATCAGTAAATGTACGAGGACATAATTTTTGTCGACATCGAAAAGAGGAATGTACTTTTATACTATGTTTCAGTTTACAATGAATTTTTAAATTTATAATAGAATTATACGACTCAATGCAAAACGGACAAAAATACATTTTTTTTGGATTAAAGTTAACGTTTACAGATATAAATATATATATATAAAACTAATACATGCAACATATATATACGACGCACGCACTCACGTACGTAATCACAGTTATATCATCTGTAGTATTCAGTATCAAAAATCACAGTTATATTATCTGTAGTAATCAGTATCAAAAAAATAGTTTAAAATTTTTATATTAAAAATGAAAATTATATTGTGAAATACATTAAATTATGATAATAATTATTATATAACCAAATCAAATTACGTATATAAAATGTTACTTATTAATTCTTTAGTCACTGCTGCAAGTTATATATTATAGATTCTTTTTTGGCTTATTTAATAAACTTTAAGAAATATTTTTTAACGCACTTATTATTTCTATAATATATGACAGATTTTTATCAGTTTTTGTAATAAAATGATATAACTCACGCTGAATCAATAGCCATATATGGTCACTTGCCACAGGATATGCAACATTTAACACATGGAAGATCTTGAAGCAAGTATCGATTGCTTCAAACGGTGATGATACCTTGTACAGAGTTTTATCTACTGATATAAACAATGATGATATTTCAGTTAAAGTAGGTCCCACAATAATTATATACGGCTGAATCGTCAAATTCATTTGATACATAGTATCAATTCGTTTCTGAATAACATTACTTATGTCTCCAGCAATCTAAAATTATGATTTTATATTATGATTATATTATTTTAAAATGCGAACTTATTATTTTAGATAAAATAAAAATTTAAATCATACTTTGACATGGATAACGAGACTTTCTTCAGATTCGATCATTGAAGGTTTCCAATGACCTTTTTTTGTTCGAACCCGTCCTTTTGGAGGAATCATGTACGATAATGCACATAACTGCGCAATAGCTTTCGATTCTGCTGTTACAAATACAATAAATAAAGTATAATTTTCATAATTAAATAAATAATAAATAAAAAGAGGTCTTCATTGTATAAATATATGTATATAAAATATGTTTTGTTTTATGAAATAATATTTTACCATCGTTATGATCACTTTCTAATATTTGTATTAGTTCTTGTACTCGCAGAATTTTTTTCTTGTCAAGAGGACAAACTTTTTGCACGTTTTTAAAAAACGTAGGCCATTGATTAATAGCATCCTCTATCGCGTCTAGTTCTAAGAATTTGAAATCCTGGACTATATTAATGACCATCCCATTGGATGTTTTAAAATTGGCCATTTTGCAAATATGTCGGAAACGGTATTGCTATTTTTTTGAATGTCATTTAAACGAAAAGAAATTGTAGCTTTCCAATTACTTTCAACTAACTCCCATGGTTCTTGGTTAGTTTCTAACCATTTCAAACTTTCTTGCAATATTTCATCCGTAACTAAAATAGAATTGTATGATATGCAAAATAATATGATATATACACTATAATAAAAAATAAAATGTATAATATAATTAAAAATATATAAATTTTTACCTTCATTAGAGATTTCATTTTCGTGATCAGTAGAACTAGTTCCAGAATATTGTATACGTTTATTTTGTTGTAACTTATTTCGGTATTTATCTACGAGTTTGCCTCGTACAGATGTCGATTTTTTATTTTGAGATTCCTTTTTAGATATCGGTGGTTTATAGTACAAGTTTATATCCTCCGATGGAAATATTTCTACTATACCTCGAGCAAGATCGAGGAGATCGGAAGAG